CGCCAGGCAATATCGATCGCCGGGCGGTCACATCTCGCTACGCGCTCGAATTGGACAGTGGGCAGGGCAAAGACGACGATTTTCGATAATTTTTTTCTCGTTAACTATTGCGAAAATTGCAAAATGTTTCAGGACTTTTCTGTTCATCTCGATCCGTTCTACCTTCTCACGAGCTCGTGGACAAATGTTATAACTCACCCTGTATAAGTAAATAATGCGAAGCCTTCCTTCCATGTTTCCGCTTTTAACGTCAATTTCATTAGCATTGATTTTAATTTCATCAGGTATCTTTAATGTATTAGATGTCGTAATATTAATAGTCAAGACTTTAGATTTGTTTTCAATATCGTTTCGTCATGTCAATTCCTCCACACTCACGCGATTGAAAATGAAAGAAATATTTAAATTTTCGAGAGTTACCAGAAAACATATTTCAAAAATAAGATCTAAGATCTTATGATTCAATGTATAATAGTGTGAATTTCTTAAAATAACAAATCGATCTATTGACCTATAGATATAATAGATTAATTAGATATTATAAAACAGATATATAAAATAAATAAGGACGCTTTATAAATTTAAAAGAACGGCCAGACAATACATCCACTAAATGTGAGCGTCTGATTACTCAAGAATTTGAAAACACGATTATTGTACGATAAAAATTTAAGAGTAATTCACTTTTCAACATTATTATTTGAATTTTCGGTTTCAGACACATGTTTTTGTGTTTGCACAAAGAAATTCTCCAATTTTTGAACTTTATCAAGCACTTCTTGTTGCTTTTTAGACTTTTCAGTATTTAATTTTCTTTTTGCACTACCACTCAACTTGTTGTTAAACGCCGCAGAAACTGCGACACAGAAACAATTGAATGTTCCGCTCATTCATTATTTTTCCACTCGAATCTCTTTCGCTAGTAAAATCCCTATCTAAAAAAGGTGTTGCGAGTTCATTGTTGTCGCTTTTCCGCGATGCCGATTGGCTCTCTCGAAACTCGATCGAGTTTCGATCTTGTTGCGAGTCGTTCTCTTCGACTCGCGGTTTTGACAGTTTATGTTTCGATCTCGTTTCGAGTCGTTCACTTCGACTTGCGCGAAGCGCGCGCTTGTGTTGTTCTAGTGTTAAATAAAAGCCGCGAGTCAAACTAAAGATTCGGGAAAAAGGGCTAGTAAGAGCCAGGCGCGGAAATAAAGTGCAAAAAAAACTTGTTCGTTTTTCTTTAAATTTCTTTATTCTAAAAAATGTACGTTTCGATGCGGTCTTCAGATCATCCTCAGCAAATAACAAAAACTACGTACAAAAATATACATCACCACCCGATCCGACTCACAATTTGCTGAGGATGATCCGAAAAAGTATCAAAACGTACATTTTTCAGAATAAAGAAATTACAAAAATATTACGATATTCTATATTAATAACATTAAATTTAAATAAAACTGTGCATATACATTGTGTAACGACAACAAGATATAGATGTAAAATTCTATTTAATTTTTTATTTGAAGACCTTCATTCAATTTTTCATAGTAAAAATTTTCTTTGCACTCGATGTAAAGATTTCCAGTGACAGTAAAAGCGCATTCCTTCACTAGAAATATTGCCCTAATCTGATAATTGCGATATCCTCCACGAACATGTGATAACAAAATATACCGTACGTTTTTCGTAAGTCAAGAGTTCGATTATAGTTAGATTTGAGTCATGCGCTGTAAGAAGTTTGTGCATCAGAAACGTATTACAATCGAAAACATCGCAGATGTGTGCCGGATTGAAACTTCAATACGTGCGCTATACAATTTAATCTTTCGTACAAAGTGTCGGCGGTAAAAGCCGCAAATTTGCAGTAAGAAGCTGATGGCTTAACTGATGACGTCGATAAGAGCAGAAAACGACGCTTATTTCAAGAGTCACTTAATCTTCTTATCACGTGGATTGCAAATTTCTTCCGACAAAAGTCTTATACTGATGAGAAGATTGCAAAACCACACATCTTCTCCGCAACTATTGCACTATTTACAAAATGTTGCTATTTTTTTTCAATTTTGATTATTAAACATATGTCACATGTGCACTTACTGGCAATAGAATAAGAGATCATAAAGACGGAATTGAACATGCTCGACGCCATGCCCGCCTTCCCGGAATCTTCGAGGAAATCGCCGAAGATTATAAAAAATGACGATGAGGGGCCCATCGTGGAAAACTAGAACAGCGGGAAAAGACATAAATTACATAACTATATGCAAAATCGTTCGCGTTGGCGTTGTAAAAGCTTTTGAAATAATTTTTAAGCAAATATACTTTATGGATAAAGAGTGATATGTATATCTGTTTCAATAGCTGAGCGCTATTATATCACTTACTATGTATTATTATTATATGTATTACATGTATTATTATACTAACAAAAATTAATATCATTGCCAATGCAATCATCCATCCCCAGCCACCGTCTGGTGCCAAATCTTCCAAAGTAATTTCCTCCTCTTCATTTATTAGTTCTTCTATCTTTGCGGTTGCGCTCTTTTTTTCATTTTCGACAGTGTTGTTGATGATGGGCGTATTTATTGTCATACCGTTGACGTCTGTCGCCGTCATGTTATGATAATCGTGTTCCTGATTTATTTCAACACATTAAAGAACATTACGTTTTTCACAAAATAAGGAAGAATCATAGAAAAAATATTTGACAAAGGATAAATATGTCAAGACGGAAAAATGTACGTGTAAATATATTTTTACATTCAGTTTTTGCAATAACTTCCGACAGAGATAAATTATCAACCATAGACGACATAAAAAGTTATTGTTTAAATTATTAATTTACTTTATCGAATGCAGTTCTTTTCTTAATAAATAAATCAAAAACTTAAATTTTCCAGGAAACAGTCAATTCACTGACGTGAAACCTAATTAGTAAAAAAATCTTTTAAACAAAGACATTTTTAAATAAGGTTATTTGTATTATCCTTAATATCCTGAGTATCCTTAATTAGTTTATTAGTAGATTTCTCATACAAAAGTTACCAAATTAGTCAGATTAAACAATTTTTGCTATTTTCGTTACGCCGGATTAGTAGATAAGAATTAAGTATTTACCTAGCAGATTTGTATTAACGATTGTATTAACGATAGATAAATTTAAAGCAAACGTCAACGATTCCGATACACTTCCACGATAATCGAAGGTAGACAGTTTCCGACTAAGCGGGGTATGCCAGAAACGATTTCGAGGTTCCTCTTATCTACGTACGAAGTGTCATCATTAAACACCCATTCTTAGGAGTGAAATATTAGCACCGTAGAATCCGTAATTACGGAATTGCACGAGAGAGAAGACGCGAATGTAAACAAAATGGCTCTCTGACGCTCCAATTCAGTTAACTATCATTCTAGTAGCAGACGTCATTCTTTATATCTAATTTATAGCTGAGCTTATTATTATGTGCATTTACTTCAACTATGTCAATTCTTAAATAAAATGCAAATAAACAAACATTTAAAAGTTGAGCAATGTTTCGTAATTATAAATTCCTTCAAGTTTTCCCATTTCTTAAAAAAATGTAATATTACTAAGTACCTATATAGTTTTAAGAGAAGAATGTAATTAACAATGTTTTCATCATAATAATTTTATTAAAAAGTTTGCGAATATTCTACAGAAAAATGTTGGCCACATTACTTAAAGATTGAAATAAAATTTCTTAAATAATGTTTAAGTAATATGAAGAGAAAAAGATGACATACATATTATAATACATATCTTTAATAAACGCTCTTGTGATGTGTGCTACATTATAATTTCGGTTTTTATTAACTAATACTAGTTTACCAGACGTAATAGAAGTCACATTATAATTTCTTGGTTTATTTTATGAAAGATATAATTATCTTACGTGTTTCTATAAAATAGTATTTAATATGATGATGTGTGTGTGCGTGTGTGTGTGCGTGTAACGCCAATTTATTTTAAAAACAAATAATGTACAGAAAATCTGTTTTTATATTTTTATAAACTAAACCTAAACAACGTTCACCCAAGTTACAGCGTACTTCGTGCAGTTGCATACATTAAGGCGCAATTGCTTTATATCAGAGAATGTCATAACGTAATTGTGAACGTACTTATCTATCCTATTTATAGTATCGATTGCGGCATATTACCGCAGAGTGCCAAATATACTGAATATAATATAATATTGAAGATCAAATCTTATTATAATTCATAATAATTTATGTTGTCATCGCACAAGCTTACAGTGTAACAAACATAATTATAGCATTGTATATTACATCGTGGGATATTGTGAGAACTTTATTGTAATTATTGTAAGTAATTTTATCGATAAAAGTAGGTAACGCTTTTTATATAAACTCAACGAAAACCTATCACCTTGTGAATGCTATCTATACGCGTATGTATATGCAATGTGGACACAGATAAAACGTCCAACCAACGAAGGTCGGTCAGTGTTGCAAACGATTCACATGTGGTCACAGTGGACACTGCTATTAACAATAATTGCCTAATTATAACGGTTAACTGTGAGCACTCATTCGAACGAGCTGCAAAAACGCTTGTATTGCAGGATAAAAAAGAAGTAAAGAGTGAGTAATGTACGAAACCGGTCAAGTTAACGAAATCGTGCGAAAAAACTTGTGAAAATATCCAATTGTTTTCGGTTAATGGTAAGTTTTATTGTATTTATTATTCATGTGTTATGCGTCCAGTAATAATTTTGCATAGTTTCTGTTGAGGCACTAAAAATTGCGACACTACAACACATGCTTAAGCGATAACGTAAAATAATAGTAATTTTCGTAGTTGTCACGTCATTATTTCATCAATAAAATTTATTTGTAATTAATACTAATATATAGACAACATACAATTAAACTTTTTTACACACAATTATAAATTTTTGTATGTTATCTTTGCTTTAGATTAGTTTAGATAATGTTACCATAAAAATTAATGAACGTGAATAATGTATACATATATTGCTTGCAACTAAAGATATCTTATTGAAATTAAAGAAAATTTGCTAGACAAATCACGTGTACTTTTCCATCGACGTAACATGTGACACAATACAACAGATATTTTCTTCGTTTATGTTCGCCAAATCCGAACTACGCCTTGCACGTCATGTGACTCCTTCTATTTGCTGAATGCCAAAATAACTTATCCCTGCCGTTACGTAACACACACGTTTATTATAATATCTAACATTATTTATTATTTTTGTAGCCTTCCACGTATGTGATTTGATCAACCGCCACACACACAACAATCAATCGTTTAAAATCCCCTACTTGACCGGTGTGTTTTTCCACAAGAGTAGGAGTGGAAACAAGTGGCGAGAAGTAAATAGCATATTATTCGACGCTTAGTCTGACAGCTGTACGGTAGCGAGCAAGCGTATGATTGGCATTTAGTGAGTGGTATTAGTATCGATTAAAAAGCGCTCGTGTGATGACGTGATTTAAAGAAGATTGTGGGCAGTTTAGCACTCGGTAGATAACAAGTTACAACACGCCACGTGAAAAATCGTTCTCATGGATGATGACGGAAAATAAGAAAAATAATTCTAAAGGACAAACTCTAGATGGTGGCTGGGGTTGGTTCATTTGTCTTGGAAGCAGTCTAATTACGGTAAGTGTTAACGGAGTTATTACATTGTTGCATAAAGCTTGAATTCATACTCCCTAAGTAAAAATTATGAGACAACAATCTCCATTAGGAAAACACACAGTTATATACAGAAAAAATTGTAATATAGAAAATTATTTTTGAGGAACTTTTTCAGTTCTTAAAGAATTATCTGACGCCAGTACATGATGAACCAATATAGAAAATTGCTGGACGACGCATGACTGGCAAATTCTAATCGAAGAAGTTTATTGCGGAAAATATTACCTCAGCCAGGGTTTGAACCTGGACTTCCTTACAGTTTAAACGGGCGTCTTGCCAATTCGACTTGGTACGTCGAATTGGCAAGACGCCCGTTTATAGTGTTAGGAAGTCCAGGTTCAAACCCTGGCTGAGGTAATATTTTCCGCAATAAATTTCTTCGATTAGAATTTGCCAGTCAAGCGTCGCCTAACAATTTTCTATATTGGTTTTTCAGGTCTTATTTCGCAAAACTTATTACTTTTATCTTTATTTTCATTACACTGTGTTATTCAACATAGCGTGTTATTGAATGTTAAATGTCTTCCAAGTTTCATTTATGTTTTTACTGAGATGTTGAGAAATATAAAATAGTGAAAACAGAATAACGTTTTATGGAAGATCATCTTTACTTATTTGTGATAATATAATTATTATATATAATATTAGAAAAATTTTACCAACGTGTTATCCTACTAATAACAACACAAATTGTAGCTCTCTTTGCGATCTTTGGATCCATCATTCGGATTGCTTTTCAAAGATCTGTTAGAGGATCTCAATGTCGACTCCACAGGGACAACAGTTATAATGAGCGTCTTAGATGCCATTGTCAATTTTTCAGGTAAAACCTTATTTGTACAACGCACAATCTATAAATAAACTTGTAATTACGTTATTTCAAAAGAAAAGAGTCTTTGAAAAGATTATTTTTATCGGAGTAATGATGAATTTACAGGTTTTCTAGTCGGACCATTATTGAAAAGATATTCTTACCGACAAGTCGCATTTTTTGGATCTTTATTAAGCTGTAGTGGATTAATAATTACATCGCAAGCTAATAGTATGCTATATATTATTTGCTCCTACAGCATATTAGGAGGTACATGTAGAATCTATTATTATAAATAATATAATGTTCGCTATCTTGGCAATAAATACATATTTTTGCAAATAATATTTTAGTCCAACGGCCTTTTGATTTAAATGATTGTTACCGGAAAGAATCTTTTTATTTATTGTTAATATTTTAGCGTTTTGTAAATATATAATTTGTTTTATGACAGGTATGGGTACTGGCCTTGCCACGGCGTGCTCCTTCGTCGCATTGAATACGTTCTTTGACAAGAAACGTGGACAAGCAGTAGGTTTTTCTATGGCGGGAGTCGCGTTGGCAATGATGCTTGTACCGTTGGTAAGTGATACATTTGTGAAAAAGGAAAAATATTTTATAAATACAAATTTATTTGTACAGTTAATACATCTATTGTTGGACATATATGGATTTCGCGGTACCACGCTTATTGCTGGAGGATGGGCATTACACTCTGTGACAGGATCGTGTTTGTTACGTCCACTAGAAGAACCGCCGCCGCCGCCGCCACCTATTAAAGTATGTAATTATTTTAATCCACAAAAAATATTGTATTATCACCGATTCAGAATGTTTAATATCTTGAATTTTTATTAAGTTTTATTAAATTACGGACCACAAGTACGTGCACTCATGTATAAATAATACCAAAAAGTAACATCTAACAGAATATACATATTTTTTTCTCAGAAACAGCCTACTGAACAGCAAGAAAGCGAGGCTTTATTAATGAAACCAAATCCTACCGAAACACGAAGAATGTCAAATGGATCGATGTGGACCACGGATCAAATCGCAGAAAGCGATTCAACCTCACCTGAAAAGGAATCGTTTATGAAGAAGATAAAAACAACTTTTGACTTGGATCTTCTAAAAAATTCCACGTACTTAAATGTCGCTTTAGGTTGCAGTTTCTTTTACGTGGCTGAGTCAAACTTTAAACTGATGACTCCTTTCTTTCTTTCGAACATCGGTGAGAGAATTTTAAACGAATAATTTAATCAGTACCGTAGCAAAGGATGTCTATTACTTCGTTGTTGAAACGGCTCCCGTGTGTTCTAAACATGAAAATATTGAAAGTTATCCGCCCCGCGCGTACATACAAAACTGTTTAGAACAATATTATAGAGACCTCGATGATCGAAACACACCGATCTCAGCAAACATCCTCGCTACGGCACTGCTCGTGAGTTACATAAACTGCCCGTAGGAACTTGACGAGTAGGTATGACTAAAGCTGAGGTGGCCTTTTGTCTGTCCCTGACTGCATTCACCGACATTCTCGCTAGACTGTTGCTGCCGACACTATTCGACAAATTCGGCTGGAAAAAGCGCATGATCTTTTGGATTTCCAGCTTCTTCGTCGGGCTAATGCGCTCCAGTAATTTTCTCATTAAATTTAAAAAAGCTATTTTTTAATCGTTTATACATTAATTATAATTAAATTTAATTGTGTTTATTTACATTTAATTGCTATAGCAATTTTCTTTTACTGAACTAAGTGGAGAAATTTATCCACAATTGAAATGAAGACTTTAACTGCGGAATATATTTATTTATAAATTTTACAAAAAGTTATGAATAAATAGAGACATTAAAAATGCTTTTTCACACAGTATTAGCGGAACAATCGGAAAGGACGCCATTAATTGCAATGCTCGTAATAGTTGGATTTTTGCGTGGCGCTACATTGGTGAATTTAAATCTCTGCATATCCGAGTGTTGTACTCTGAAGAAGCTACCAAGTGCAGTTGGAATATTTATGGTGTTTAAGGGCTTATGCGTGGTCACAATGAGTCCTGTAATCGGTAGGTCCCTATGCAACATGAGATAATGATGTTTCTCGCGCGTATTGAAATAAGATGTAAATTAATTCTTCGTAAATATTTTCTGTTAAAAAAAGGATACATCAGAGATGTCAGTGGTAGCTACAAGATCTGCATTCACGTGATGACCGCCATGATACTTACCACGTTTGTTGTGTGGAGCGTTGAATTTTTATATGGTCTCTTTTGTAGACAACTTGTTATAGTTAAGAAATTACAACAGCGCGTAACAGAATAGTATTTTAAATTTAATAGTAGTCTCGTGAAACAGATCTAATAAAGTTTTATCAATCATGTCGAATCCTTGCGATTTTGTACGTCACGAGTGCTGATCGAATAAATTGTTCTTTTTCAAAATAATTTCTTCTTCAATTAATAATTCTCGTATAATCATTAGTAAACTAACAATTGCAAAACAACCATCAGTCGTGCATTAAATTTTTTTTCACAACAAGATTATTTTCCTGCAAAAAAATCCTCCCGCATTAAATTGAATCAAAGTACATTCTCAATGACTTCATAATTTGTAATCTTTCCGATACATTGATATCTTATCTATTGTAGGCGCAACGCTGTGTATTTTTTCAGGTGCAACAAACTCATTTCTCATCTGTTTATCCGTAAAACTTCCTTGTCAAGTCACCATTTCATACACAAATAAAAAATCTGATCGTTGTTTTCAAAAGAAGTCGTCCGAAAGAATTATCAAACAGGACAGGTCTGAAAAATACTTCCAATCAATATTTATTTTCATATCTGCTGTGCTTCTTTAAAAAGCAGCTGCATTTTTATATAAAATTACAACAAAGTGCTCCGCTAATGCGCGACAAAATCGCGACTGACGTTACTCATGTAGCAGCCATCACTCGTGTCGTTGCACTTATGCGAGATAATGAGGCGCGTTTATTAATTTGCATTGAATGCGACTATAAATTAAAGACCCCGAGCGCAGCACTGCACGAGTGCGTGCATTCAGGCTCGCGAGCGGAAACATTACGAACGATCGCGCTTGGTCTCGGATGGAATAACGGAGCCGGTTTTCATTGCGCTTCCTCCTCCTCGGCCAGTCCCGGATCGTCCGCAGCTCGTGTCAGAGCACATGCTTCCTGGCTTTATATACTAAACCACATTGAGGCATCTTGTTCGATATAAATATCAATGAATGTTTTCGAAATTGACACACGTGAGTGCTAACGTTGTGATATTATACTGTCAGTGCTGAAAAATTTTCCGGCTGTACTTAACATTAAATAATGTTACTCCGACTGCTCGCCAACGCAGGCGTTTGACGACTCGATTAAACGTGTTTACTTTGCGAAGTGAACAGTTCGCGTGAGAAGAAGGGAGAACGACTGATTGTGAGTCATCGGTTCAGATAAAGAAGCTAAGACGTTGATGAGCAAACAGAAGAACGAGTTTGACACGTTACTACAGATAATGATTTTTGTGTTGTTTAAGTAACTGGTCGATCAAAGCCAGCATTTGTTTTCGTCACTTTGCTTTAATTATCATGGATCTGTAAGAAACGTGAATAATTTGGGACGAGGTCAATCTAGTTAGTCGACTCGAAAGTAGAGTGAGCTTGTAAAAACTGTTGGAAGTAGCGCAAAAAGCTTTTATCGAATAAGTTCTATCGGTAAAAATTACAACGTTTACTCTTTTAACGTCTTGTCAAGATTGTAACTTTATTTTTCGTTATAGATATAATTGAGATTGATAAAGTTAACCGAGCTGCATTGCGACGAGACTCGTTCTTCTTAATAAACATCGCTATTTTATTAATTAATTGAAGAAACAATGATAGATTATACGGTTATGATAAAAAGTGTAAATATGTGGATGTGTAATAGAAAATACAGCTGCTTCTAATGAAAAAAAGATATTTAATTCATACATATTAAATTATATGCAAATGCGAAATAAACAAGAGTTTTAATTGAAATGAGAGGGGGGGGGCCTTATCTGCACTGCGTATCTTATCACTTGCCCGATTTAAATTTGCGATTGTATGTTGTCTGGACAACTAGGTTGGCAGTCTGCTGATGGTACGAGCACGGAATACAACTGAAATCTCTAGAAACATATACTCCCATGAGACACCTGCAGAGCGGTGATTGATATGATTGATAGAATGGCACGTGGCCTAACAGATCGGGGCTGGGCATGGATGATTGTTGTCGGCGTGACTGTTATCAATGTAAGTCGATCTTCCATTACTATGACCGCTGTTAGAAATCGGCAGTGATTAATTCCCGTTGTCGTAGCTTTAATCTCCGATTTTTATTGCAATCGAGATCCATTTTTAATAACTTGAAGCTTCTTCGAACAAGAAATGCATTAAAAGATTATGAAAGAAGTCTCTCAAGGTCGTAGCTTTTAAGATATATTTTGTTGATACATGTAATATTGATATTTTTTTGGTATAACAACAAATTTGGTAATTCTTTTCTCCATGAAAATTTAATGTTAATAGAAAACGTTTGGATATTTTATGATTTTTATAAAAAGTTTACAATTTTTGTGCACTTAAGAAATTATGATTTTCTCGTATGAAAAATTTGGTAAAAACGTGGACAATGTTCTACATGCGTTGCGAATATTGCAACATTTGAACGATATATTTTCACGAGACTAACTGCAATTTTCTTCATCAGCTAGCCGTGCTTCCGGTCCAGCAATGCTTCGGCCTTATCTTCGCGGAACGTTTCGCAAGCCTCGGCATCACTGCGACGCAAACGAGTTTGATCCTCCATCTTAATGGGACAATAACGTGCAGCCTCGGTTTGATAAGCGGCCCTATGATGAAGAGATTCTCCTTTCGGCACGTCGCATATTTCGGCAGCCTGACGGTTGTCCTCGGAATCTGCGCCGCTGCCTTCGCCGTGTCACTCTCGACTCTTATTATCACTTACTGCGTGATCATTGGTAAATAATTCATGCTACAGGATACCAAAACCCGAATGAGAGCCGTAATATGACGAGCCGCTTGGTCATTTGCGCTGAGCGCCACTGAAGAGCGCAGACTGATAAAGAAGTAAGGCATGGTGGTAGTGCACGCACACAAAGTACTTTAGAGCATCGGTTGCTCCAACGTGCTCTTTGTTCGGAATGCAGCGGCGCTCAACATTATAGCCCTCATCCGAGCTCCAGTAATTTCAATTACCAAGAACAGACAATGATGTAATTGCATTCGCGTGAATCTCCAAAGATTGAGAGATCTAAGCACTTATGTACAAACTACGCACATTATTGCCTTAAAAAGATAATAGCATTAATTAAAACGCCTATATTTAACAGGCATAGGCCAAGGAATAATTTTTCCAGCGACAACATTGGCCTTGAACACGTACTTCCGCAAGAAACGCAACGTAGCCATGGGTCTATCAGTTACATTAACCGGTCTGGGCCCAATCTTAATGCCTCTGTTGATAGATGTACTTCTCGAGAATTTTGCCACGACTGGTACTCTCCTGATCCTTGCTGGAATCGCCTCGCATTCCCTCATTGGTGCGTCGCTATTAAGACCGTTTGGAAAGCAGAAAGAGGTGAGTTAAAGGTACGTGAGAAAAGACGCAATCTTATACCGATTCCCTCCAGTTTTCATTTTACGTATTTCAGTCATCTCATTGCATCACATCAACAATATGTTAAATGTACCCTAGATTATATTTGGAAGGCTCTCTCTCTCGCTCTCTCTTCTTCCATTTTTAGCAGATTGTTCTGGTAGACAAAATTACCGATATATCGAGAGAGGAACATTCACGTGTTGATAATGAAGCAAATGTAAAAAATAACGCCGTTCAAAACCGGTTATTAAATGAAGAAAACAATGAAGAGGAAAGACAACCGAGCCATCGTCCAAAGAATAACGAAACCGAAGTGAAAAGTAGACAAGCCTCGTTCCTTAGAAAAATTATTACGAACATGGATCTCGATCTTCTTCGTGATAATCGTTATATAGCGATAGTTCTAGGTAGATTACGAACAACTGAATTCACAGGTCTTGCCGAATTAGAATTAAATTCTTGAGAGACGTATGTAACGCGCGTGTCTCAAAAACAGGTATGGGCGTCTCGCTGGTGGCCGAGACCAACTTCAACGCAACGATACCGTTCGTCCTGGCTGAATTAGCAGATCTGGACAGAACGTCAATAGCTACGGTGATGTCGATCCAAGCTGCAGCGGACATCACGGGACGTCTTTGCGTACCGTTGTTGGCGCAAAAAGCCGGCTGGACATGCAGGAATCTTTATGTGATATCCCTGCTGGGATCGATCCTCGGAAGGGCTAGTACGTACCGCCACATAAAGTATACGAACGCGAGGAATCTCTTCACGAGGTGATCTTTGGGGTGGGTTGATCAGCTGGCTAAGTACATTTAGTATGACAATCGATACCATCCGCAAATCATTGAGATCGTAATATTTAACATTTATCAAACCGCGGCTGAAATCGTTGTCATTTGTATTGCAGTACACATCTGGATTAATGTATCGCACCTGAGATAAATAATTCAGTGATCGAACGTGTCCTAATGATTGAAATATTATTAATATGTTTGTATTTGACATTTATAACTTCCTAAAAAAGCACTTGAAATTTTATTCAAAGACATTTAAAATATTATTTAATAATCATACAATCTGCGTTAAGTTTGTATCATTCGGTGATGAGGACCAAATTCATTTTTTCAATTCTACAACTGGCATTCTTTGATATTCCATTAAAATAATAATTAATATTGATTAATTATTTTATTTCTTATTATTTTTTCATTATGCTGACAAACAAGAGAGAATATTAGTTTTGTTACATTAATTACATTAATTATTTATTAATAAAAATGTAAAACTGATAGTGTTTTCTTACACGGAAAAAAATGATGTTGTAACAACAAAATCAGCGTAATTGAAATAAAATTGTTGAAACAACATCAATATTAATAAACGAGAACTATCAGATAGTTGTCTTAATGATCTGGATATTTCGTTCAATGCTTAAAATTAAAATCAATACCAAATACAATTGAGCGAATCATTTGTGTTTGCAGCAGCCCGTGACGTTAACATTTAATTCAAGCAACTTCACGCTTTTTAAATTTAACAACATTTTTTAACCATGTATTAACTCTTAATCACATTTACTTCATGTATACATATATTTTAATACTATTTGATTGAAAATAACTACATATTTGGTGTATGATAGCCATTGGTATCCATTGTATCCATTGTTAATGTACATTCGTATTGATGTTCGCATTCTCGATGTTTTATGACTCGCCCCTACACAAAATCACTTCTCACATTAATTTCTTGACAGTTTTGTCGACGTGGGGCGATACTTACGTCATTGTGATCGGGGTTGCTCTAGTCATCGGACTGGCGAAGGGAACCAAAGCTGTCTTCCAAGCTCTAATCATTCCCGATTACGTGCCATTGGAGAGACTGCCGGCAGCATCCGGTATTCAGATGGTTTGTAACGGCATCCTGTCTATCAGCGTGGGACCAATTATCGGTAAAGAGAAATTCTAAATTCATAATGAGAGTAGCCTGATTTTCTTAAATGTTTAATTTCAATCATAATGTTTAACGGGACAGCGTCCTCTTGTCTATCTTATCTATTTTATCATTATTATCCACTTTATTTATCTTAATTGAAATTAAACATTTTTTTAGGTTTGGTGCACGATTCTACAGATAGTTACGTAGGTGCGCTCTATTTCACATCCCTTCTTAGTTCGTCCTGTGTCTTCCTGTGGTTAATAAGTGGACTATGGACTCTTGGTAAAAATACTCGAAGTGTTCTAAAGTTAAATCAGCAAAATCCGGAGGGACAAGAAAATTCTCTTGACAACAATGCTTAATTTAGCAGCGGTTTAATATTTTCAATTTACAAATGCATGAAATGTTGATAAATATAAAATGTTTTAATGTTACAATACACGTATTACATACAATATATACTTTTATACCAAAAGAGTGTGGTGTCTATGAAATTTCATTGACAATAATGTGTAGAATTATCGATTATATTGATAAATGTAAGAAATTCAAAGTCTCTCTCGTACAACTATCAATATCTTTTTAATTTATAGATGATTTTATTTTATTTACGCCATAAAAGTTAATACATGAAATACATTACCACTCTGGTTTTAAGAAATTATCAATAAATGTACTTAATTTCAAGTTTCTATTAAAGTCACTACAGCTAATAATTCTATAAAATTAGCGATGTTTTTATAAAAATATTTATTAATCATTTTTACCATATATATTGCATAACATGTAAAGGAAAGTCCCCTATTGTGAGATACGCTCCTAACATGAAATAGCAGGGTTACTACTAAATTATACTTCATTAAAGCTACATGTATTTCATAACCCAATATTATTCTGATCCAGATAAGAATTTTTCTGACACGCATTAACAATTACTTGTCAACGAAGTTAATATCCGTAACAAAGCCACTCAACTTGTGCAAGAGATATGAACAGAGAGATATAAGACATACACACCCGCATATATTCACACATTTTCAAGTATATAAATCATCACTTAATCTTTTATCGATTCCTCGTACTTCCCCGCTTTCTTCACATCATGCAATGCGATTATAGCAATCTGATAAGACTTTAATTACTCTACCTAAGAGTATTTAAAGTCAAACTTTTGCGCCCATTATATATTTTTATTTGCATATTTAAATATATGCGAAAACCGAGAAAAATTTTGTGTAATCTTAATTATAATTTAATTGCAATAATAAAAATGCAATATACAGTAATAATAATTTTCAACGCGCACGTAAGACTAATATAATGTAATCTTTCTATATTAATAGCGATATAATGTTAATACAAAATTTAATGAAATTTCGATAATTACTAAAGCAATCGAATAATACAGTAAATATAAATGTGTATTGTATTTATGTGGATTATACTTTACAATTATATGTATACATACGTATACAATAATATCCATCTTGCGGCAATGATCTATAAAGATTTTCTATTTAATTTTATTTAATAATGTTTCCTCATCGTGGTCTGATAATACATTTGACGTTCATAGGCTAAAGAGATGAGATTAGATTAATCGTAAGCTTAGACAGTTTCTTATCTTCTGCAAAAATGACCAACGGCAGTGTAGCCTTTATCATTTCGCGAGACGCAATAGTATAAATCGGACTAGAATGCCAAGTTCTGTGCTATTTGTTTATTTGTGTTATAATTACCGGTTTATTAGCGTTAGACCAATTAAATATGTGAATTAATACATATAAAAGGATAAATTGTGCAACAGTTATGTATATGTTGTGTAATACTTTATCATTTAATAGGGAAAAAGATAAAGATAGCAGAAGAAGAGACAGAAAAAAAATCTTTTCTTGCACTCATTAAAAATAGACGTCAGAAAATTAATTACAATTTTTCATCGAGAATAATATATTATATTAATAAATCAAGTTTCGTAAACTTTTAAATCAAATGCAATCAATTGTAGCTTTAAAACTGTAGACCATTCGCGAATAGAATTATCAATGTATTCAAATAATCGCGGGTATCAATTAAAGTAGATAAGATTAATGGTCAACTGACATCATCGGAATCTGCAAGTCACGATTATTACATAAAATCAGTATTATTATGGAATGATTAATCCAAGAGGCGTTGCAAGTGTGGAGTTTTACTGAATAAAGTGTGTTGTTCGTAAATAACAGTCAAATAGAATACGATTGCCTACAAAAGCGGACGTGAATAAATGTGAAGGCAACACTCCGTGCAAATATTTATTTGACAAAGTGAATTTTTATTCTCTTTACGTGATATTTATTTACTTTTAGACAATTAACTAATATTGCATTGAATTTCATTATATAATACTTGATCTTATATCGAAAAATGTTTACAAAAGTGCCGCCGAATGGGGGGTGGGGATGGATTATTGTTATAGCTGCCGCACTGAATGGCGTAAGTTATAATAAATATCTTATCATAATATACAAAATGCAAACACACCAAATGTGTTGAAATAAATCAATATCTGTCAAAATATCAAAATGCTCGCCCGAGAGGCTCAAGATTAATCCAAAAATAAAAATTTTATAGCTGTCAACTATTCCGATTGTGCAAGGATTCGGATTGATATTTAAAGATTCCTTCGTCGCGATGAATCTAAGTGCGACAGACACATCAGTTATAATCAATGTAAATTTGGCATTCGGTATGATACTCGGCTTAATCAATGGACCTCTCTTGAAGATCTTCGGTTATAGAACAGTGGCGATGACCGGAAGCATAATGTTCGCACTTGGTGTAACATTAACGGCATTCGCCAACAGTTTTACTCTTATCATAATTTGTTATGGAATACTAACCTGTAAGTAAAACAGAGTAATTCCTCGGACTTTATTAATAGAGGAAAGTCTCCTATTATGAGAAAGGATTCTAATATGGGATAGCGAGAACATCGGTTGATTCCACTATGAATTTATTGCCCTCGGAGCGACATCTGTTTAATGGAAAATTCATTGTTAGATTGTATAATCGTTACGGAAAAAAATTGTAATTGAATTTGGATGTTGAAGACCTGCTATCTCATAATAGAGGACTTACCTTCAATTATTATTGTACATTAATTAACGTAAAACAATTATTGCTAAAATATAACTTTTTCCATCACAATTTGGACATCAAATTGTGAAAACTTTCTTAAATACGCGCATAAGCGTCGGCGTTATAAATTAATTATCAAGTTTGTCTACGCAGCTGTTGGTATGAGTATGTCAATGTCTGGATTCTCTCTGGCGACCAATTCTTATTTCACCACGAAACGAGGACGAGCTATAGGCATGGCAATGACTCTCACGGGGCTGGGGCCAATTCTTATGCCTCAAATAGCATCCTTTTTGCTTTCATTTTACGGTGTTCAGGTATCGTAAAGTTACGTTTTACTAAAAGAGAAAAGAATTTAATAGACGATGAATGCAATGAATCAAACAAAGTTATTCATTATTTTCTACAATATATGAAATGATTATATCAAATGAAAACATTGGATTATGAATATTTATCAGATAAAAGTATAAAAACACAGACTTTAATATACCTTAATAGCACAGTGCTTTGGCTAAACATTGGTCCAATATTGGTTACATAGTGTTTCCCAATGTAAAGCCAGTATTGGCCACGAAATAAATGTAAATATTGCACAATAATAATGATATAATATTAGATTTACATAGAAAATGCATTGGCAAATATTTAGCAATATAATATGAATGTTTGTCTAACATTGATACAATTAAATCAATATTGCTAAGTACGCATACTTATTGGCTAAATAAGAGGAGACGTCCATCTTACAATATTGGTCCAATGTTGGGAATATATTTCCCAATATTGTGACTATATATCGTGCTACTAGGGATAAATTTATAGTTCAAAATATCTCAATAATATTTCGTCCAATGCAGCTCCACTTACGACGAATGTTGCCGATCATAAAGTACAATGGCGGCTGCTTATCGATGTAGGTCGGACGATGAACGGCTGTTTATTTTCAATTGTTGGTCGTGCGATCTACAGCTAATCGACGTGATCTTTTCTTTATGCATTGTCGATTTGTAACATCAATAAGATTTCTAGTGAAACTTGTGTCTTTAATTCTTAATTAATGTATCGAGAGTTACAACTACTTACGAATTGCTGCTATGGCAACAATTATTATAAATCTTAGTGAATAAATAAGTGGAAAAATATAAGATATAATGATATATAGTACAAGAAATATAATATTAAACAGGGGACTGTCTTGATACTTGGCGCTTACAGTTTTCACTCGATGATAGGTGCAATGTTGCTACACCCTGTTAGATGGCATATGAAAAACGCACCCATCTGTTTAGAGACAGCCACGGAAAATCCTAAAATTTTGGCTGACGATAATGATAAACAAGGTACTTACTAAAAGACATTTATATGTAGCAGCAATATTTGTAATCTTTATCAGAAATTTTGAATTGCTTGCAGATACATCGAATTGTTACGAGGAAGATGAAACAAATATATACTCTTCGGCGCTAGCAGTAAACAATTATCTGAGAAAAAGGAGAACAACAATATCCAGCATTGATCACGATGTTGAAATTAAAAGCATTTATGGATTTGATACGCCTCTGCCTCGACAAATTTCTATGGATGGAACAAGTATGAGCCGACTTAATTATGGCACAATTTAATAACAATAAATAAATTAACAATTGATTAGAAACGGTGCTAAAAATATGAATTTCATATTTCAGTGTATGATCCAAATCACGACATCGAAATGACGAAGATGAACGGAACATCAAAGACGAATTTACACGACGTTCGTAAAGGTCCAATATATCCATGGTGGAATTCATGTAACTATGCCAAAAGATCATCTCTATTAAAGTTAATTTTTACATATACAACAGATATCGAATAAATTCAAATTTGTAATTAGACGCTATGAAAATAATATACGTACTTACAGCAAGAAGCGTAGATAGTATCAATCTCGGAAGTAGCATAAAAATTTTCGACGAGCCTGTTCCAGTAACGAAAAAACTGACCTTTATCAATAATAGCGTGAGCAAAAATAATGGCGTGAGTCAGAACGTTGTGGAAAAGGATTCGCTGTTAGAAAAAGAGGCAGACAATTGTTCAATCGAGGAAAAAAATGAAATCTGGTAAGTATGAAAATATACCTACGATATATAATCGTGAGTAATTTTAATAAAATAATACTTCGTATATCTTTTCACTTAATTTAATATTGACGTAAAAGTATCATCTACATTATAGAAGTGCGTGATTACAATAGATGGCTATAATTATAATTAGATAACAGAAATATAACAAACTGTGTGAGTTACCACTCGTCGAAAAGTAACAAGTAATACAACACTCACGTTGTAGCGGCGAAAATAATTCGTCCATCTGCCGACTCCTACGACGAGTGGCTGATCTTTATGACTTCGATCTGCTGCGCGACCCCATTTACGTGAACATCATGTTGGGAATGTCAATCGCGATTTTCGCGGAGGTAAACTTCTCTTTGCTGACGCCGTTCATCCTCGCTGACATGGGCTTGGCGACGGGAGAAATTGCCAACGTCATGAGCATCATCGCGATAGTTGATCTTATTAGCAGAGGCGCAGCACCTTATTTGGGGGAGTGGCTGCGTCTGTCACCCAGGATGATGTACATGCTCAGCTTGTTTCTTCTGATAATTAGCAGAACCTGTAACGTATACTGATTATCTTTCATTATTGAGTTCCGACGAAAGAATACGAAATAATGTACGAGAATAGCAAGAATTTTAATAACGATAGAATTTTACTATAACAATTAATCTCTACTTTTCCTTTACGCAGCACTGTTATTCGCGTATAGCTTCACCACGATGCTGGCAGTCGCGATCGGTTTGGGAGCAGCGAAAGGAATTCGGTCGGTGTACATGGCCCTAGTCGTACCCACCTACGTTCCCATTCAAAAGTTACCGAACGCCTCAGGGATTCAGATGCTGACCAACGGAATGATCCTCATGAGCGCTGGTCCTATGCTCGGTTTGTGAACAACAATATTATATATGAAATTGTTAAATGCAACTCTTGTTCTTCAGACATAATTTGTTAAATACTGAAAAACCTAAATAATAAAAGCTCGATTTGTTACAGGTTTAATACGAGATAATACTGGAAATTATACCATCTGTATTATCTTGCTCAACTGCGTGACCGCTATCACGTTATTTATGTGGACAACAGAGATACTCATAAGAAGGAAATCTGCCCGGCAAAAATCGCAGTTGTCCGAAACATCTTAGTAAATAGTAAACTGAATATAATTATGTTTCTCTGTAAATAAGTCACTTCCAATGGTACGTAAGATCCGAATAAGGTAAAAGCATGAAGAGGATATACGTAGCCTAAATACACTTGGAACCTAAGAGAAAGATTATGTGCGGCAATTTTCGATTTCACGAATCATGAAAGGGAATTAAAAATTCCTGCTCGTGTCTAATTGTAAGTCCCTCTGTCGTTAGACCATCAGCACGATCGCAATTAAGGTCGTGTCCTTGTTCAATACCATTTACCATGGAAATGGATCTAATTAAAGCGTTAGTCTTCTCCAGACACGACCGGAGTCTTTAAGACAACGGCGTACCGCCGCTGTAGACACAATGGTACACCTTTCCCACTATCTTCCGGCGGGAGTTCTCACGTTTCGCTGCGACAAGCAACGTGTGATCCTCCCGAAGAGACCTGAAAAGGAAGTTCGAAGGTCAATGAATTGTAGATATTGTTGCATCAAGCGAGTTAATCTTTTCGACGCTGTTAATTTCATCTTCTCTCGTCTCAAGTTCATACTCATTAAGTATAACACCTCTTTCACGACGCCAAATGGTTATAATGTACGCGCGATATCACCTAATTTTCCTATGACGGCTTGAAACACGGAAGTGATTTTGTTTCTGTTTTACTGAGGCAGACCTAAATTTGGGAAAACCTTGAGACATACTGAATATTTTTGTTAAACATATTTTTAACGCGATAGTAATTGAATAGTGATTTAAATCATCACAATATGACGTGTTGCATATATTTTTAAACGTTGAATAATTTTTATACGATTTTGCTTGATATGAATGAAAGAACAAGCTCGGAATTCGCCAAGCAAAGTTCCGTTTCACCGCACAATTGGGAAAAAATTGACTTCCGCAATATGCACATAAGCACATCACGCACGAGTGTATATTTAGATGCAGCAATACTCAGATAGTCGTGACACTTCTTGGCGGATGTCCAGCTTTACGAAACCGGCGAAAGTGATCGGAACGTGGTGGGCAAACGAACATGGAAGTCGAGTTCAAGTAACATATAAACGCGACGAGATTTCGAAACAACCACGCCTGCAGTTTTCTAAAATCGAGATAATAAAACGTGTGAAGCTTTAAATAATTTATCATGTCACGTGAGTATGATTTAACGGAAAAATATGTGACATAATTTATAATAATTAGAAATATTTTCTTAATTTGTTGGAGAAATATAAATTTATATTAACTTTTTTTATATGTGCGAAATAAATCGTCCATTATTCATTACTTTATTATTTCCTATCCGTTTTCTATTATTCATTATTCCTCATTGTTTTTTTTATGTCACGCTCGAACTCATTCTTTTAGCGTTAAACAGAATGTAGACAGGAAACAACGAAAGCTTCTCCATTGGAAAGCGATTAACATGCACGATAGACTCTGAGAAGATCGACTTGTAAGATTTGGCTTACAGAATTGACGAAAGTGCTTCAAGAAACGACAGCGTGTTCGCTTAAAATCCAGTTCATGTAACTCAGACTGACCTAATTAATCAATATGCGTATATTGTGAATAGCCATCAATTTTCGTCTTCTTAAAATATGTACTTTTTTTATAACATAAAACCTTTCTGTTAAAATCAGATCGCAATCTTGTAAAACTTACAATTAGTAAAGAATTTTGCGCAAATAGTTTTTACCTCAAAATAATTAAAAAGTAAATTTCTTAACGTAAGAATTTAATTAAAAAGAGACTATGTGTGTGTGTGGGTGTTTTGTATATAAAATACAAACATCAAATACATACACCTAATTATAAAAATAATTAATTTCAATTTAAATAACTCAAACATTGTGAGTTGCAAAATAATCGCGTAAGCTTTTCAGATTATTGAGATGAATTATTATTTTAATTTGTTTATTATATTGTGTGTAAAAGTTCATTTGCAATATTTATTAATGCGAATTTCAATAGTGGACAATTTTGCAAGGCACAACGTAGCAACATAACACATAACATGCCAGGTCTTTAGTTTCTTGTAATTTATCACTTATTTTCAAACTTATATTTAAGGTATAAAAAGACCTTATAAGAAAACTTATAAAATACATACGTCCGGATTTATAAAATACATTTATCCGGTGCACTGGCCACGATAATCACTTACGCACGTACGTAAAATCGAAACAGTTCACTCGTTTGTATTAAATATTATTAAGTTAAAAGTTCGTTTGGGAATGAGGTCAAAAGCTACTATTTTAATATAATTATTCACATTCGCTCACACCATTCGCGGAAACACACTATCAAAATTACACATGCACAAACAATCGTCTTGAGCATTTTCCACACTTGATGCGTCATCGTTTGGCGCGTGACTTCTGCAAAAATATTAAGAAAATATTAAAATATTATTTTTAAAATTTTAAACATCAATCGCAATTAATAAAATTATATTTTTGTTATCCCAATTCTATATAGAATTTATATAGAAGCATAGATGTATTTTTAGAATATTTTTTAACTATAACGTTTCTAAAAGATACAACATTAAATTAAACATCGATATCAATGAAAGTTTTTCTTATATACATATTTACTTATTGAAGAAATTTAATATAATCTTTAATATAAATAAAAATTCTAGCTAAAACTTGTAGAATATCAAGTTGAAAATGTAATTTCACAAAGTAAATTAACAGAAAATGATTATACAAATATTCTAATTATAAGCGCTAACTCAATAGTGATATACGTACCTTCGAGGATCTGGAATACGGTATAGGAGGTTCAGTGTCGTTACTATCGTATTCACTATCGGCAAGCGACGCAAAGTCCTCGTGCTCCATGATGCTCCACAAAGTAACGCTCTCTGGACCTGTGGAAGCCACAGCTAAATTGTTCACAGCCTGAGGCAACACTTGGTAGACTTTCTCTATCGGCTCGAATGTATTCTTCGTTTCCTTCATGTTCGTTTGCGAAGTTTCCTTCGATTCCTTCGTGTTGCTTTCTGCCTCCTTCAATAACATCTGCTTTCTGTTACCAGAATTCAATCTAGGAGTAGTTAGTGGCACGGGTGTCACTATTTGCACGATTTCCTTGTTCACTGCAGAAATTGCCGTGGGGAAATTTCGCCATACGTTCTTTTGTCCGGACGTGGTAGCATAGATGGAGCTTTTTAATACCTTAAATAGAAAATATGAAAAAGAAATAAGATATTATTTTTCGGTATTGATATCCTTGAAACTTTCATTACTTACTCGTGTTTGTTGTTGTTCCATGCGGTGGTTGGCCGACTTTTCATATTTCTGATCATTGAAGTTCAACCCGTCCAAGGTATAAGTTTTAACATTATCGTTGGAAGAATCAGTTATGCGACTAACAAGTTTAGTGGCCGTGAGGTACTCTTTAGGGATTGGCTTTGAAGGAGAAGAAATGTACAGAGTGGTCCACTGTCTAGGCGGTACTGTGCTAGCGGGTGTGGTCTTTGAATAATTCTAAATTGAATAGAAGCAACCATCATTATTATCGCATTTACTGTAAATATATAATATTACAAACAATATTAATAATCAACTTTACTATTTATAAAAAAATTTTCATTAACCTCTTACAGTAACGTAGAACTAAATCTGTCAGTAATATTGGATTTAAAAGACCTATTGTAAAAAAGAAATATCACACAATTGTATATTATATAATTGCTTTGCTTGCAAACACAATAAAACTAAAATATTATTCAGTTCGTTACGAAGCTATGCTTAAAGATCTTTTGACCAATAATTGAACTTTATTATATCATGTTTCCTTTTTGAAAAAAGTTGAAAAGTGAAAAAGTGAGGAAAACACTATTTATCTGTGGAATGCCTTTCTATATTATAACACAATTTGCCCAACCAGACTCAACATTATGCATTCTACAGGATTAAAGATGCCACTCGTCATCTTGTCCAATTTATTTACAAACACACATTTCTTTAAAAAAACCACGTGACATACCTGTATCGTCCAGTTATCAATATTTTTCTGCAACTTGTGCACGTTTATAGAATTGTTCGCTTTGGTATTAGCTGGGTTTTTGTCCCCGAATATCGGCGAAGTAGTCGACTGAGGGAAAATGGGCGAGTTCGGTCTGACTACGTTGATACTAGTTTTTGATTCTTCGCCGACGTAATTGTCATGATTGAATCTATCCGTGTCAGAAATCTTTGTCTTGTTCAGCGGACGGAACGGAACTGGTGTGTGTTGAGCCATATAGGGTATGACGAGCTGATGTACCTAAAAATTTCAATCGCAGAAATACAGTTTTTAAGTGTTTTCTCTCTGAAGATATATTTTTCTACTTAAGAAACTCGATTGCATCACCTGTTTTCTCTTCCCATTTTGTTGCCCGGTTGTTGTTGCTTCAAACGGTTCTGTGACTGCACCCGCCGAAGTCGTCGATTCCACGGCATCAGTCGTCTCATAATAATCGACAGAGAATTCTGTTAGAGGGTTCTGACGTGTCCCAAAAATCTCGTCGCCAAATGCCACAGTCGTCCCGGCGTTCTCGGTGGTCTCGAAGTCCGCGAACGTGTTAGAGGTCGGCGGTATCGAGGACGAGTCCGTCCGACTTTCATCCTTATACGTGAAATCTAGCAACGGTGACTCCACGAAATTTATTGAATCTTCAATATTCTCAGAAAATCCCTTGGCGACGTTGGTGTTGGAGGACACCTGAGTGCCACTGGAGGACAGATCATGTGCCGCGTGATCCTGACGAAACTGTTCCAATTTTTCATTACTTACACCGGGATTGGTATATTCCGGCTCTTGCGGGACAACTCCCGGACCTGAATAATCCGAAGGAGTTGGGTACAAAGGTTCGTTATATCCACCGTTGAAAGCGGAACCCGCCGCATTCAGAAAAGAGCCACCTGTGGGTGCACCGTTCTCGGCAACTGACGACGACGTTTTCGCGTCAGGGTACGGGTTTCCATTGGGAGCGACCTGCGCATAGTAATCGTGGAAATCTCCTTCTTTGTAGAGCGGCGGCGTTTCTTCGATGTACACCGTCGGGTTTGGCAACGGAGCTAAGGGGACGGCCTGTTCGCCGACCACTGGCGTCGGATAAGAGTAGTCCGGGACTCTGACGTCGTACGAGGCAGCATGGTAAGCGTCACGGGGTGCTTCGGCATCTGTCGATATGTATCCACCAACCATCGGCGTATCAGGCGAATTTACTGATAATGACACGGCGGACGAAGCATCTCCCGAGTGTGCAAGTTCATCTTGCGGTATCGGCGTCCAAGGCGTTTTGTTGCACGGATTACAATTCTTAGTTCTAGTTTCGGTAGGGTATCCCGGCTGATCGTCGATGGGAGCCGGAGGCAGAGGTGGTGTCTCATAAGCCACAGGGCCATTGTAAGCTGCCGCGGGAGCGGGTTGTACGAACGTTGGAGAGTACGCGGTTTCGGACTGCTGTAGCGTCAGCGGCGGCCGCAGCGGCGGCGGCGATTCTCTTGTCATCCAATTGAAGGGATTCAGCCAACTCATCATTTTCGAAAAGTATCCTTCCTCACTGGTTGACTGATAGTCCGCCAATCTTGGGACTCTGCCCGGATGGAACCTTGGCGGTGGCGGTGGAACGAGGTACTCGCTGATTCTGCGAACGCGTCGAACGTTGTTCGGTCTGCCCCGATCATTGTGGATGGAGAACGCCGCGTTGATCGTGCAGATCACCAGTAATAAAAGCGGCAAGACCTGGAACACAAGACCACCGAGCTAGCGAGAAGACCCGTCAAGGATTACTAATTACCAACATTACTAACTGAAAACAGCTTTGTTCGATCTGTAATTGATTTACAGAAATTTCAAGAAATAGTGGCATTGGAAGCGAAACCTTTGCTCAACATTAATTTAACAAAGTAATCAACGGTGATCCAAATTCTCACATGGTACCGAACAAGAATGAGAGACCCGAGCACTTTCTTATTAATAGTCGTTGGGTGCATGCTAACAATTGTTTTTCTCTTTCTCAATATTCCAGGTATCATTTGTCCTAACGAAATCTCGTGCGCATTACATTATTATGTACACTTTCCGCAACAGTCAATGACGTGACGGAGAATAACGTGCGGCGAAGCGAACTGGGTCGCACCATGAGAATCATTCTACGCCGCCGAGGATTATGTATGCCGTGCGTGAAACTAGACGCCTTCTCCCTTGTTATTCCAGAATGGAGTCCTCGTTGGACTCGGTTTTCCTCTCCTTAGTCCTAAATTCAGCTGATTACCCCGCTTTAATGCGCCGCACTCGCCATTTACGCACGTGCAAGGAACGAAACAATATTGCCGCGCCGCAAAAATCGCGAAGCCCGGCTAACAATTGCTCTTCCGCTGCGTTTCAACTACCACAAATCATACGCTCTCGTCACGTTAGTTATCCTCGGGTTTCACATTCGCTTAAAATTATTAAACTGAGCGTTATTAGATTTCGCACGACGCTCTTTACATATCCGCAATTCCGAAATTGGCTTTCGAACCGAGTGAAAAGCACTCGCGCAATTGTCGTTTGAGGTTCCGAGACTCTCCGGCCTATTTAACCGACGTAGAACACCGCAATCATCATCTCTCTTCAAGAGATTCCGAGTCAATCGGTTATTACCGACGGTAAAAGGTCATAAGGTATATACGAATGCAATGTGCAGGGTCAAGAATGTGCCACGAGAAAGAGTCAGAAATTCAATTCCGGTAGAATTACTTCGATCTGTTGCTCGCTCTTATTCGATTGTTTGTAAAATCATTAGCTAATGATTACATTTACGTAGAGATAAAATTTTTAACATTTCATACATTTTGTATGTACAATTTTTATACATTTTTATTATAATATCAATTAACTTTCTAATTTATTGTTACGCGTTTCTTCTAGAAACATTTCTCATAAATAAGACACTGAAGTAATAACAAATTGTAACAATTAAATTATAATTATCATAATGACGTAGAGAGAATATAGCAACACGAAAGATTGAGAAAATGTAACACCTGCTGGAATGATAATTTTGCATCTTCTTCTTTCGCTTAAAATAGTCTCGGCAGTTAGATTTTTATATTATTAACATCGAGCAAAATTCGATATAAACTCGACGCGTATTCCCAAGGACTCGAGGAGTCGCAACGCTCGCCGTTGAATTTTCACGAAATCCGCGGTGAAGATATTCTTTCGCGCGCTAGGAAGCCTTCGCCGCGGAAGGCCGCGAGGAAAACGAAGGAAATGTCGAAGAAAGGCCGGGAATTGTCGCGATTCGCAGCAGCCGCGACAGCGAGGTTGAGATTCTCCCACGTCGATTGAATGCGGGGGAGAAAGAGCTCTCCACGTGCCAGTTCTTTCGCCGTACGTGAGCGCGTCGCCGCTCTCGTGAGAGAGAACGAGAGTAAGTCGGCGGGTGACCGTGTTTGTCCCGGCGAACCGGAAGCCGCGTAGGAAAGTGAAGAAACGGAAGAAACGAGGAGGCGCGCGCTCGAGGTGCGCTACGCGCGAGAAACGCGCCACTAATAACGCGTTACGGCGATTTTACACGCACACCGGAGCGTACGTTATGCAAATTGCTCCCGACTGGGTCGCGCTCGAAGTCGCGCAGCCAGCGTTTCGCGACGCGGTTTCGTTTACGGCCCGCAGATGTTCGACGCCAGGTAGTTTCTCGCTCGACGACCGACTGCAACGCGCGAATCGAAATTGTCACGCTTATCCCACGGAAATACTTCACGCGGTAGTTAGAGACTTTTCCTCCGTGTTAAGCACCCGCGTAGACCTCGTATGAAAACTGAAATGAAAATCGAAAAGATGCCGGAGACACTGAACTTTAATGCCGGACACGCGACGGATTGCAGCTCGCCACTGATTTTGCATTTGTATGTATTTCGATTAAACTCGGCGCGCGCGTTTTTCAAACAAACCTACTTGTACCCGCTCGTGTTCTTTCGGCGCGGTGTTATGTCTTCATTTAGTGAAAACGATGTGGCACGACCAGCTATTCCCTAAGACGTTAATGAGAAGTCAGTAGGCTACGAAAACCCAGCAGGTATTAATCAAGCATGGATCGAGAATAATAGCGACCGCGCGCTCTTAAGTCAAGGATGGAATTAAGGATAGAGGAACGGGTCGAAATCCGCGCGCTAAGAAGCGGTTAGGTCCGATTTCTCGGCTAGAGATCGTCCGGAACATCTGGAGAGCATCCGTTCGGCGCGCACAGGTCGGCCGTTTACGACTGCACGATCGTATTGAGGATACCATATCGATTATCTTCCTCGGCCGTTTAAAACCGTCACGTTTGCTCGAGAAATTATGGCTCCATTCGGTTGCGCGGAGAATACACCGGCCTCGGCCACAACCCGGCGGGGGTCTCGACCCAGAAGTGCAAGGTGAGAGGACGCGAATGCGCGGAGGCACCAGTGTAACTGCGATTTTTGAAACCGATGCGCTTCATTATACATTTGCAGCAAACCGCTTGGCGCAAACGGAATCGGTGAAATACGTGGGTCGAAATAAAAATGCGTAAATGAGGTGACGAGATATTTATATAACACATTTCGTGAAAAAGATGTTAGGACGAGGTGGGGGGGGGGGGAATTGTAGCATTACGGGATATTAAAACTCCGTGGATCGATTGTTTCTGTGTCTTGGCCGGCGAATCAAGTTGGCGCGCAGTTCTAAGATTCGAAAAACAGTGACGAAAGTGTGACATTCGGACACATCATTTGAAAGTTTATTGCGATAAGTATTACCGCATGCCTCGGTGGTCGAACTGGTGAGCCTGGAGTGTAATGGCCGTATCGCACTAGCGGTTCGCGTTGGCGTTGCCGTTGGCTGCTGCGTCTCGACCAATCGACCAATCTCGACCAAAATAGCCGGACATTTCTCTCAACGTCAACGCAAACGCGAACCGCTAGTGCGATGCGGCCATAATGCGGGTTTGACACCGCGGGTCGGATACCGTAAATTCGAGTGATCGCTCGCCCGAGAGCGGCGATACGCCGCCGGAACAGCTCCGCGGCAGCGCGCGGAAGTCACCCGCGTGCTTTCTCATTAAGAACGTCCCACGCCGTCGCGGAAATTAATTATTGAAACGTCTGATTATTAAAATTGATTACGCCACTGCGCCCGCGGCGCGTATATACAAACTCGTCGCCGAAGATGCGAAGACCTAGTGCGCCCGCGCGCACATAAAGCGAGTAATGTAGGTAAGTGGGCTGTGGGTATTACGACGAGCTGGGACCTCCAGCGAGAGAAGACGATGTAACGCGCGGGGTCGTGCACGTGGTAATCCCGACGGCGCGTGCGCGCGCGTGCATGTGTGTGCGTGCGCGGAAAATAAATGTCAGCGTTAATCGAGACGAACCGCTGCCGATAATGAGGCTGCGCTCTCATTACGGGATAACGTCGCCCGCAATGAAACGATCATCGCGTACGAGAAAATCTGCTTGATATCTCCGCGAAATCGAGACTGTAACGTCAACGAGATCGATATTTACAGGCGAAACTTTCGATGCTGCTCGGCAAAGGCCACTGCTCTCTTTGATAATACAAAATAAGAATCGGTACGCGGACAAAAATGATGTTGTATCGGCAATGTCAGTGTAATTGAAATGAAATGAAACATCAGACAGTTGTCTGAATGATCTGAATGTTTAGTTCAATGCTTAAAATTAAAATCCGTGGCAAATGCAATTCAGCGAATTATTTATGTTTGTGGCAGCCCGTGGCATCAATGTTTAATTTCGAGCAACTTTATCTTTTTCAAATTCAACACCGTTTTTTTCCGTGTAATTATATTGTCTTGTTGGGACGCGCGTGATAATTGTTCCCGATCTTTTGCTGAAATGCATTTTGAGAAATGTCAGAGTACACGTAAAAATTTTAACAGATACGCACTTTGCGTTGTATGGCAAGGGAAATGGTATTATCCTGTCACTTTCCAAGACAGATTCTAAATTCCCGTGGGAATAGTCGGGTGAAAATCGGGAGATCTCGACGATCTTCTCGGGAAAAGACGAGCCCTAACGGTGCTCCAACGGCGCAGAAGACAATTACAGGAGCGTCGAGACAGAGAGAGTTAACTATCGTATTTACATCGCGGGCTGCTCCAGTTCGACGTACGTAAGAAAAATACGGCATAAAGCGTCCGTCCTGACCCCTCATATGGACTGTTCAGGTAAGAAATCGCTCGGCGTTTTACTGCGACTAGCTGAAACCCATGACTTCGAAGACGCACAGAAGAAACTTATCTCGGGCAAATTATCGTCGGGTTTAGAAAATGACATAGCGTCGTCGATTCTTCCGCGTCCAGCTTTCGCGAATATAGTTAAGATTATACGTGATAATATATTAAACGAAAGTTTATGTAAACTGAAAGGCGAGCATTCTAAAAATCGAGTAAAAAGATATATAAGAATCATATTTATATCTCGCGAGGAAAAGAAACGCGACTTACATTGGTACCACGTCATTACTGACAACTTCATAAACTCGAAACAAACGGAAGGAGGTTCCACCTTTATTTTATCGACGCAAACGAATCTGTTAACTGGCACTCCTGATTCTCACTTTTAACGTATTTCTTTTTCAAATCATTATTAATAAAATATAATGTTATAATGTAAATTACACGCGGGTATTCGACATATTTACTTTGATTCTTAATTTATTAACAGACTACGAGAGCGTATCCACCGAAACGAGACACCACTAATACGACTCGCGCGCTTTGTAAATGGAAAAGCCTCATGTTTGTATGGAACATCGTACGCTCGTGAAGATTCATTATTGACACTTTTCTAAAGCTGGTCTGCGATAAAGCGTGTAAATGGAAAGCAGAGTTTTATTTCTTCTGAAAAGAATTTCTGATACCAGCACTATGCCTGTTTGCAGATAAAGTTAAAACGTTATCATCTGAAGCTGAGACGATAAAATAATATCAATAATCGATGTCAATAGCTCTAAGAAATATTTATGTGTATCATATATACATATACTTCAGATTTTAATCCTAAAACATATAATAATGGCAGGAAATATTTTAAAATTACTCTATAGAAAATGAATATTAAAGACAGCTTTTTCCTTAATAAGATCGTTGAAAGAGATTATTATATTTAACGGTGTATTCATTACATTTTAATATTTCTCTGATGCCTCTTAATATAAGCCTCAAGTTAAAGCAATAACTATTTTATGTAGAAATAATTATTTCACTGTCCGTTTCTTCGCAGTTCAGTCAAAAAAGTTACAACTCGAAATTTTGGGTTTGCTTAATAAAAGCCGACGCCAAATTTTACAAGCATTAATATTCACTGATCGTGTCTTCCAAAATATTCTATAATAATCTTGACAATCGTAACACGAAAAGAGCATTAATTAGAAAAGATCTGCATAGCTGTGTACATTTTTGAAAATCGGGACTAACAATAAGTGAGACACGTGCAAACGGAAAGCGATAGATTTAGGTCGGTCGAAAGAGTTTCCCTCTTCGACTGGCGATGTGCCGAATGGCTTGATCGTTCGTCTCGAAAGCGGCTTATGACTTGGTCACTTATTCGTCGTCCTGGCGCTATAGTCGATTCACGATGTGCATAAATCAATCGTCACTCTCGAGACACAACACGGGCAGTACATTAACATACTGCACCGATGGCGCTCTCCTGGCTAATTAAAGAACGTGACTCTGGAACGAATTTGCCGAATAAAACCGAACATTATAAACAACTTGTTTATAACAAATAATTATAACTCTGGAATTGAAACTCGACTATTACTTTTGCCCAGCGATAATGAGAAAGCTTCTTTTTATTTTATTATATTTTAAATTACATTTGAAGATACGAAGGACAAAATGTATAATTGCCAAAAAAATAGGTTAATGAAATAGTAAGAAAAGGATTAATAAGTTGACACATACGCACTGTAATTTTCTGGAGACCAAATAATTTGTAGAAATACAATTATATTTGAAACGCAATGTTTGGTCTCTTGTTTTGTTATTTCTAATTTTTTTACAATAGTGCATACTAAAAAATATGTTAATTACTGACGAAATGAAGAGCTCTCGCGTGTTTCATCCATATGTATTGTATAAATTGGACTCGAAAGCAGTGTACATCTTTTCTATGTCGTCAAGACTCGCATGTTTCTCGGTACATCATAATTGCACAGCCCACTCGCCTCGTTATCGATATCGCGAGAAGAGAGAATTACAGAGCATTAAAATGATCCATCATTAAATTCACTAGAATCAAAACGCAAAAGCAGCAATTTACACTTTTTCAATGGGGAAGCTATTGCACGCGATCAAGGTAATCGCTGTTTAACAACGAATATTCTGCGCTAATCTTCTTAGTGTAATAAAATTATACTCTTGACATATTTAGTGCACAAAAAGACAGACCACCAAAGTTCTATGATTATTTCTGTATAATTTACAATTTATACTGAACATTTATGTTATATTAAATGTTTGATATTGAACGCATAATAATTCGATAGCAATTTGATTATAGTACCATGCAATATCGATCAATTAAATTTTGAATCGAAAAGTTCTGAAATCTCCTGATTTGACAACCATAACAATTCCATAATTGTTCGGTGATTTTGTTCTTAATAATGAACGATCTCTCATTTCTAATGTTACTCACTCTTCGAGTATCCATCTCTCCTGTAATCAGGATCTCTCCGCCAAGAACATGTCACATGCACGCAAAACCAAAATCACACTCGTCCTGAATCTTCTAAAGCAAATTGAATTCCCGCTAGCTTTCAGCCTTGTGTCATCGTCACGGCGCGTAATGCGATCGAACGGGCGCGAGGACCCAGTTCTCTTCCTCGTCGCGTGAAGGTGAAGGTTGAAGTGGAAGGACGCAGGATCGAAACGACACGAGCGTGCATGGAAAGGGAGGTGGGAAGAAAAGAAAAAGATGGGAGAGAAGATGCGCACTTGACCAGGGTTAAAGAGAAAGTCCATTGGAGCGTCTTCAACCGAAGACACTTATATACATTTGCGCTTCTCTCCTTCCTTCCTGACACCTCTCTCGCTCTCTCCCTTCCGTAGCACCTTTCCCTCGCTCGAGAACAAGGATTCCTCCGTGTACACTCAGCCGATCTCTCTCCCTTTGAGTCGGCAATTGAATGTGTGTGTGTGTGCAGCAGGTAGAGGGTTTTCCTACCTATTCCAAAAAATTTTTCTCAATCCCCGTCTTGCCGATAATGAACATCAAGACAGGTTTTTCGGATTTAAGGGTCGCAGGGCTGGAATGCCACCTAACACAGGTCTAACACTTCCCCCTTTGGAGATTACTGGTTGGTTTCAAAAAATATTTTTTATTCTACACAATGCAACGTTGTATATTTCACGTTTTGCAAATTAAACTGTTATTGTTAACGATATTGTACATGAAAGTTCATTAAAATGTACTTAACTTGAAAAACATATAAATACATAATATAACTCGATTACGGTAAAAAATAAATCTCGAATCTAATGAAGAGATTAACATTAAGTGTTCGTTTTGAACAAGACATGAAAATAAAATCTATTGCAATATAAGTAGATACAAGATGTGCATGCATAATTGATGCATAACGCTAGCACGCACGAATGGGCAGAATATTACGTGCGGACATTAAATCCAGTTGCAACTTTCTCGTCGCTTTCTGGCGATTTTGTATTCTGTAGACTTCACCCTCGATTTCCTCGTCGTAAGGCCACCGCGTTAAAAAAACGCGCATTCTGAATCGCGTCCGACATTTCACCTGGAAAGAATCGTCAGGGATGCAGATGTCGTTCTGACTTCAAACGACGTCGAGAGAAACACGCGGTGATAATATTTTAATTGCGTCGCATTTAACTTTCGATAATTACGTAATATAATAGCGTCGATAAATTATCAATTCCTTCAACTGGAAAACTGACAAATGACAAGGAGAAATACGTGAAAAATTCAATTTGTACACGGAGAGAAATATATTTTTACATGTATATTTTTTCACGCGGGTAATTACACTATACATAGTGAAACGTGTGGTGAAATTTCAAAAAAGTCTCATAAAATTCTTCGTGTTGTCCCACGATTACAATATTTTCAGGATGACTTTTAAAAGAAAATTCTCTCCGTGTACAAGAATATTATTATCGTTGATAACATTAAAATTAGAGATGTGAATCTCCGAGGCAGAAAATGCGCGGATTCGTGATAAGGCCAAAGAGAATTGTCTTCATTTTATCTCACTTTACATCCCGATAAATGAGCGTATGATTAACACAATTAAACCATAAACCTTCCCGCTATAAATAAATCTGAGATTCTTGTCAGACCGAATCTTTCGATCGTAACAATGAGTCGTTTGTCGATCGTCGTTCTTTTGTGTCTTTATCCCTCTTTCAAAATCGTCGAGGGTCAGCTCACGGCAAAGCCTATCTGCACCGAAGAAGGTGCCTTCGAGATTAACGACGGGACTTGTAAAAACTACTATCTGTGTGTGGACGATGGAGAAAAATTCACGCCGGTGATGCTATCGTGCAGCAATATCGCCATATTCGATACTTCCATGCGTAAATGTGTGCCTGAAGGCACGGCTGTCTGTCAACAAACGACGACAATGGCACCATCGACCACGTCGGCACCGCTCTGCGTTAGATACGGCAGATTCTCAATACTGGACGTGGAATGTAAGAAATATTATTTATGTTATTGGGACGGCGCCCGCTATATCATAATGGACAATCTTTCGTGTCCGAACGTCCTGGTATTCAACCCAACCTCCGAAAAATGTGTACCGCCACAAATGTATACATGTCCAGGAATAACCGAGGGGAAATAGGGACGATGGAACGATACAACCATACTGTGTGCGTTTACAATCTATAAAATGCTTATGTATTATTTTATTAAATGACGGCGTGCGCTAAATTCAACACCTATTGTACATCTGTCATTAGAAGGATCACTTTGTGTGATCGAAACGTCTCGAGATAATTATTTATATTTCGATGTATTAAATTTTATATATTTCACACATAACGTCTGTGTTGACTCCTATTGCCTATTTCTTGGTCCGTTTTTTATAAAATGTTTGTGTAGTTTCACAAAATTGTATTGTATAATCAATCACCATGAATATTAACAATTATTAAATTGTTTGTCGAAATAGAAATAAATATTGTATTTATTGTCCAAATTCATGTTTCCTCTAATTATACGTGTTTGCTGATTAATAGGAAATTGATTGAAAGTGACAAAAGAATTATATCGTATATGTAAAAAATGCTATACCAATTTTCGATAAAGAGAGATTAGAGATGAAAAATGTGCGAGTGCAATTATCTATGATTATAAATCATAAACAATTTTCCAACAGAAGGCGGATGTTATAGGCTGATAGAAAAATAATCAGAGGGTCTTTGAATACCGCGTGCTTAATAGTCACGTTTATCACCCGACGCATTATTTTTAACTTAATGGAAACAATAAAAGTGCGTAACAATTCCTCGTTAGCACGATCTATTATAGGCACGATTCGGACAATGCGATTACGATTGTCGATGCCAACCGCATAATTAATTACTTTCGAACGTTATGAACGCGCAGGCGATAATTGTTCGCGCGATCAATCAAACGCGTTTATAACTTTAAAGATTATCAACGAGGCATATGCCTCGGTGGTCGAATTGGTGAGACGCCCACCTAGAATGTAAGGAGGGTCCAGGTTGAAACCCTGGCTGAGATAATATTTGTCGCAATGAATTTTCTGTATTATTAAAAATGCCCAGGTATGATCAAGAAAACACTGACGTTGTTAATTATCGCTGGCGACATTGAAGAATTCTTATTGGTCTAGAGATTATATTAATCGTAGTAAATATCAGCTTCTCCTCCTACGGCACAAATGCCAACATACAGGGTGTCCTGAAATTCGCGAATCAAAATACCATAGCAAGAATGTCGTCGAAAAAATAAATTAAAAAGTTATTTGCCATTTTTCGTTCCGAGCAGTAGTTTTTTTAGATAAAAAGGTTCAAAACAGGCCAATCATACATCACGGTTGAACGGAAACCTGTCCGTGAGTCGCGCGTCGATAGTTTAGTGCACTAACGCTATCGACGCGCGACTCAC